GGGGGGGAGGAAAACCGCCGTGCCTCCCCCCCTCCAGTGGGGCTTGAAAGCTGTAGGATTTATTGGGGTGTGTGTGTAAGGGAGGAGGAACTACCTGCCCCCCCTTCCCTAGGTGGGGTGTAAGGTTGGGGGGGCTGAGAGAAGGAGGAGGAATGACCCCCCTCCCTCTCTGCCCCAAATTGGGACTTGGATGTGTGGGTGTTTGGGGCCCCCAGTTAGTTCAGAAATAGGGCAGGGAGGATCCCCCTTTTTGGCAGGTTAAGGGCTGGGAATTGGGGTGGGGGTGGGGGCCCTGGAAATAATAAGGGGATGCCCATGGCAGGAGCTCGCTTTCTCTCATTTTTCCCTCCCTAAACCAGTCTCCATGTGGGGCCCTGGAGATAATAAGGGGATGCCCATGGTAGGAACTCGCTTTCTCTCATTTTTCCCTCCCTAAATGGGATGGGGACTTGGATTCCTGGATTATAGGATGGATGGCTCAGTGAGTTGGCCTCCTGGCTGTGGAGCCAGAGGTCGGGAGCCCAGTTCCCTCTGCTGATGCATGGAAAGATGCGTTACGTTCACTAGTAATACCAGTTGACACGCTTCCTGGGCAGAGTAGGATGGATTATAACTCTTTTATGCTTTGTGCATGGTGGCATCTTATTAATTTTTAAAATTAAATTTGTTGATTTATTGAAAATATTTTTATTCTTCCTTTCCCCTTAAAAAAAAAAAACACCCAGGGTGGCTTACATCATTTAAAAGACAATATTTAAAAGCTAAAAACAGTAAGTATTTATTGTAAGTAAGTGAATTTAAGGAAGGCCACGCTTTGGGGACATTCCTTGGAAGGACCAGAATATGGCATTTATTGCTTTGTCTCTTCTGTTTATATTTTGCCTCTTGCTAAACCCGGGGACCAGAGAAAGAGACAAACCCAGAGGATTCTAGACCCAGAGTAAGCCGCCCTAGAGGAAGAAATGAGGTGGAAATCTGGGGGTGTATAGGGTGAATAATAAGAACTTGTGGGTAATGCAGGTGGCAGAATATTTTCTTTCAACACCCTCCCCCTCCTTTCAATCTGGGCTTTCCAAAAGACAGTAATCTAAAATATGAAGGGCGGTGGATTAAGAGAGTGAGGATGAATGTGGGTCGATCTGGTTGAGGAGAAAATCTTGGTGGGGGGGGACCAGGGAGGTACAAAGGGGTGTTCCAGGTAAGGGAGGGGTCATCAGGATAGAATTTGGGAGTCAGAACAACTCACACCCCAGAACTGTTTTATCTGTGGGAGAAGCCATATTTTTCCAGAGGAGAGACATGCTTTTTTCTCTCTTAGCAGACAGTAAGGGATATATTTTGGATGGTTTGGGGGCAGTGTGTGTTTTTGGGGAGGGGGGTCTTTATAGTACAGCATTTGCATAGGAGCCCCCAAAATCAGGTGAAGCAGCACACCTGGGGGGGAAAGGAAGGTGAAGGTACCATGTCAGTTTAACCGTGAGCAAGCTGGGATGATTTGGATGGCCCCTTATCCCTTGTGGTGTGATGGGGAGGTGGGGAGGGGGCCGTATCATCAGTGGCATCTACGGCAAAACAGCTCAGTGAGTGAACAAAAGGTCGAGAAAAGTGTGGCTGTTTACAGAAGGGGAAAGACCTATTTGTTGGCTGGTTGGTTTAAAATATTTTTACCCCATCTTTCTTCTTAAGAAAGATCCGAGGCAGTTTACATCATTTTAAACAGTTTTCTTGGCTATCAAGGGCAGTTAGGTGGGAGCAGCAAATACGTGAAGTTCTGTTTTTTTCCTTCACTGGGGTGGGGTAAATCAGGGTAGGAGATAAAAATGAGGGGGGCATGTGATTCTTGTGATCAGACCCAGAATGGATGCTCTGTGGGTTTTTTGGGGGGAAGGGGCAGCAGGCGGGTAGGGTGGGACGATCTTTACAAGCTTGCTATCAAGGGCAGTTAGGTGGGAGCAGCAAATACGTGAAGTTCTGTTTTTTTCCTTCACTGGGGTGGGGTAAATCAGGGTAGGAGATAAAAATGAGGGGGGCATGTGATTCTTGTGATCAGACCCAGAATGGATGCTCTGTGGGTTTTTTGGGGGGAAGGGGCAGCAGGCGGGTAGGGTGGGACGATCTTTACAAGCTTCAGATTGTGCCATCTTTTCTAAACGGAGCGTGTTCTTCTCCGGTTCTGGCTGTTCCTTAGAAGCAGCGAGATTCAGTTCTCTGCCCCCCCCCATCTCCCTTTTCTCAGCTTAGAAGCATAACCTGAGAAATAGGTGCTTTTCTGCTCCTTTAGAAAGCAAAAATATTTCCTTAATGGGTGCCAAAACCCAACTCAAAAGAGGCTAATTTGGGTCAATGCCCGTCATTTGAAGTTTGCTCTAGTTTCTCTCTGGACTTTTGTCCGAGATGCACAGAACACACCTTGCGTTGCTAGCGTCTGGAACATGTTGTGGGTACCAAATGGCGTGATGTCACTCTCTAGCTTTATGTAAAGCCGAAGAGGTTCATATCCACCAATATCCGCTTTAATCTCCAGGATGGATGTTGGTTTCCACCTCCAGGTCATTCATTTCATTTATTTAAAATATTTTCACTCCGCCTTTCCCCTTAAAAGGACCCGAGGTGGCTTTGTTCTGAGCTCACGGATCCCTCTTTACAATTGCTCCATGTTTCTGTTCGCTTGCGTGCCTGATGTGAACGGCTGTCGTACACAACGGTGGTTCGAAAAAACTCTTTGCATGTATTTTTTCTTCCTCTGAAATGCAAACAGAGTAAACGTCTTGGAATAAATGCAGGGTTTATCGGGGGGGGGCAGGTTTCCCTGTGCTGCTGGTTGTTTATAATGGCAATGTGTCATGTTTGCATTTGGAGGATAAATAATAATTAAAAAAAAAACAGCTGCAAAGACATTTCAGTATGGTTGGAACTGATTTTTTTTTTTTTTTGGCATTCAGTCTCCATATGGAATCTGCAAACATCCCCACCTTTCGTCCTGCAATAATCCATGCGTGCAAGTTCATGATCACAATAAAATCATCGTATTTAACCAGAGGCTCCCCTTCCCGTCAGGAGGAATCCTGAATCAACAAACCATTCTCCTCGCCCTGCATTTTCCTAGAAAGGCACTTTGGCGTTGATACGCTCGGCTTTCCCGGGCACCAGGGTGGCACTGCCCTCATTTGTATTGTTAAAGCTTTTCGGGAGAGATGAATCTGAGATTAGAAGCCACATGGCGGGTGTTTTTCCGCCTCTCCCTGGGGAGGGATCCTGAACCAATCCATTGTGAAGTGTTATTCTGCTCTCTGTGTGTGTGATTGTGTGTGTGTGTGTGTGTGTGTGTGAGAGAGAGAGAGAGACAGTCAGTCAAAGAGAGAAGAATGAGGAGGAAGACATTTCTGAAGCCATGACTGTTCCCGTCTTCCTGCTTGTCTCCTTGAATCAGAGGAGGGCCTTGCAGATTTTAAGCTCGAGAAGAAGAAAAATCTACATTTATTTCTTTACATTTTTGCTAGAACCCTGAGATTCACCAGCAGGATCCGGGTGCAAAAGGCATGGAGTCGGTCTTAGCTCTGTTTAGACCCATTGGACCGGACAGGAATTAAGTATGTCATTCTTAGCTTACGTCCCTTTTATTCAAGGTGCATAAATAATAATAAAAAAGCAGGTTCAAAGACTTTTCAGTATGATTGCAACTGTTACTGACTAAATTTTTTTTGGCATTTACTATGCATCTGAATTTAAATCAATTTAAATTATTAGGTTATTTTGATTTAAATCAAATTGATTTAAATCACAATTTAAATTTTGAAAGACTAGGTTTTTGATGATTTTAATTTTTAAATCTCTTTTTTTAAATTTTAAATCAATTTGATTTTAAAAATTATTTATTTTTCATCTGCTCTGCTTTTATTTTAAGGGGCCTGGTTTTGTGTCTGGCTGAATCTGGATCCACCCCATCAGGTCGAACTCTTCTAAGAAGTAGGGGCCTGAGTCCTGCAGTTGGTCTCAGCTAGAGTAGACCCATTGAACCCATGGAGGTTGCACAAATGTTGCCTTGCCGGCTGCCACTGATTTGATCCATCTGCTTTCGTTCGGACAGGCGGTTGGGGGTAATACTTGAATGTTGTTGATGATACATTTCCGAGCCTCAGCCCATTTGCTAGTTTTACACATACCCTAAACAAGGGTTTGGGGTTTTGACGCTAACAATTTCAGGAACATGTTTGAGCTCCCCACTGGACTTTTGGAAAACATACAGGGATCTGCTGTTCGTCCCTTCTCTTTCTGTTAATCCCTCAAAATCTGATACAGTGGTGCCTCGCTTGACGATGTTAATCGTTCCAGCGAAATCGCTGTAAAGCAAAAACATCGTCAAACAAAACAAAAAATCCCATTGAAACGCATTGAAAACCCGTTCAGTGCGTTCCAATGGGCTGAAAAACTCACCGTCCAGCGAAGATCCTCCATACGGTGGCCATTTTCAGTGCCTGTATAGCAAGGAATCCATCCTACAAAACAGCAGTGGGCCATTTTGAAAGCCGGCAGCCATTTTGAAACCTGACGATCAGCTGTTTGCTGATCGTCGTAAAGCGAAAAATCGGTTCCCGAAACAGGGAACTGATCAACGTGAAGGGAAATTCCCCCCGTTTAAAACATCGTTTTGCGATCACAAAAACTAAAATCGGATCCCGAAACATGGAACTGATCAACGTGAAACGAAATTCTCCCATTTAACACATCGTTTTGCGATCGCAAAAACGTTGACGTAATGCGGATTTGTTGTAGAGTGGGGTAATCGTCCAGCGGGGCATGACTGTACTCCCTCTTTCTCACTTTTGTGATGTCTAAAACTTGTGATGTCTAGAGCGTACGTTTGGCAGGGAGCAGCCACATTTTCTTACTCCCCGTGAAGAGTTCCTCTTGCAGGCCCAGATCTAATGTGAGAGACTGTGCTCTCTAAGGGTTGAATGGGACTGGAAAATGCCAGTTCACTGGGTGAAGCTGGGCCACTCCCTTTTTTCTCAGCTTGGTCTACCTTGCAAGATCATTGTGAAAGCTAGGCAAAAAAAAAGAGTCACTGAGATGCCAGCTTTCTAGCCATGGGATTTTTCGATATGGTTTCTCCACTCACAGCTACCAGAATTCAGCAGGAATCCCCACCACTAGAATTTCTGGACGCTCTCGCCAAAAAACATCCAAGTTTCAAGATAAACAGACTCACCATGGTTCGGTTGAGTAGGTGTCTTTAAAATGATGTAAGTTGCCTTCAGGTCCTTTTTAAGAAGAAAGGAGGGGTTAAAAATATTTTACATTAATAGATATTCTCGTCTGAATTGGGGGCACTGCTGTGCCTACAAATGCACCACCCAATACAAATCCCCTTAGACTTTTTTTTTATCCCTCTGTGTCCCTAGTCTCTTGGGGATATTTTCTCCTGCGCACACGTTGATTCTCCTTCTGCTTCCACTTTTCCTCTGAAGGGGACTTTTGAGGAGGGACAGCTGGCTTTGACCTAGGAATCTAGGGAATTAGTCCAGATCTCAGAAAAGTTCTCAGTAGAGACAGGTGGCTCCAGTTTTTCACGGTAGAGAATCCACGCCGGGTCTTAGCCTCAACTGGAGCTCTCCCGGGTGCTGAACCGTGTCCTCCCATAGAAGTTCTGAACCTGGTTTGATCTCCTGCACAGTACGGATTAAAACTCGGAATGGGTTCACCGGCCCTGTTGGGTTTGCGGTGCCAGCTTCCCTGGGAGCTGGAGCTCCCAGGTCCCCCCGTCCACCTCCACGCCGCATGTCCCGTGCTGGCTAGAGGATGCTGGGACCTGTAATCTGAAGAAGTACAGGATGGCTGAGGTCTTGTAGACTCCCCTTAACTTTGAAGGTGGATGCTGTCATCCTCATTAAAGTTTCTGTTGCAGCAAGTGTATTTTTCAGGATTTAAACAGGAGTGTAACTTAAACTAGACCTGTTTAATTTGTTTGATGTCTGTGGGTATGGTAGCAAATGCAGTGTTTTTTTCCTTCCTGTTCCAACCTTCTGACAGAGTGCCTCCTAGACTCTGGAACTCACTGCCACTGCATGCCTGGCTTGTCCCTTCTTTGCTGGCAAAGACCTTTCTCTTCAGGCGGTGATCGGCTGCCTTAGCTGGGTTTTTAAATGGATTGTTGCACTCTGTTGCTTTCAAATGTGTTTTTAGTATTGGTTTTATTTACTGTTTTTAATACAATATATGTTTTATTTATTTATTTATTTATTTATTTATTTATTTATTTATTTATCTTTTTGCTATCTGTTTTACTTATTGTTTTTAGCTTTTAATTATTGTCCTTTTCATGATGTAAACCGCGTTGGGTCTTTCTAAGTAGAAAGGGAGGGTAAAAATAAAGAAAGAAGGAGATAAACAAACCCCAAAAAAATCAGCTTATTTTATTTTAGGAATCCTTTGGAAGATACTTAAATTCCTTTCTTCTCTTCCATAGTTATTTTGGGAAGGAGGGGTGTTTGCGCACTGGATAAAAGCAAAAATAACATTTCTAACTAGGAGGCCCTCAGCATGGAAATGAGTTTAAATGAGATGCATGCCAGTGCTAAACTCTAGCCTCAGAAACAAACCAAAACTAAAAATAAACCATCCTTATAAGGGGACTGGAAAGCATATCACTGGACTAACTACTAAAAGGAGAATTTCGTATGGATGGCAAGATCAGATATATTAAGGAAAGTAATTGTTCTTTGTGGAAAAGGCCGGCAGATAAGATAATAATGTGAAAAGGAGTCACTTCACTTCCTTTGCTGTGTTTAGAGCTGTGATGGTTTGTGGCCAGGCTGTGTGTGTAAATACTTTGTACCAGGAGACCTTCTACATTCTGGGGTTTTTCAAAAATTAATTGAAGTTATTATCTCAGTTATTTTTTAGAAGGATTTTTTTAAAAAGTAACTAAAAAGTAACTGTTTGGCAATGGGAGTACAACTGTGACAAACTGCATCAATGTCCAAAGTCTAGATTTAAATTGAAATTTTTACATTTTAAATTTAATTTTGTATTTTATTTCTCTAAGGAGTTTCTTTTGGAATCCAGTGCTGCCAAGGTAAACCCCAGTTTACCAGGTCAACACCAGTTACGTTTGGGCTCATAGAATTAATGTCTCGTTCTGACCCTTCACTGACTATTGAGCAGGTTGGCACCGGATTCCCATCTTCCAGGCTTCTAACTTGTCGTTGGTTCTTCTGAAAGAAAGCAGAGCTTGGAAATAAGGCGTTTGATTTAATGCTTGAACGTTAACATGGTGAACTTCATCCTGAAAGGGGAGGGATGCCTCAGACCTGGAGAAAAATAATATTTTGAGAGCAGTGTTAAAAATGTCTTGGCAGCTGCTTTTAAAAAGGTTGGGTATTGGATACATCCTGTAAGGCCAGCTTGTTCTCCTGTTTATCCTTCACGTGTTATTTGCGGCTTCTGGAATAAATGGACCTCTAAAGCAGGGGTGGAGAGATCCTGTGGTCATCACAGTATGGAGAACCGGCTGTTCCCCAGGTCCTTCTCCACTGGCCAGTCCTTGGGTGTTTCTGGACTACAACTCCCAGAAGCCTCCTCCATGGGCTGTGCTGGCCAGGATTTCTTGGGAGTTGCAGTCCCAGAACATCTAGGGATAGAAGTTCTGGGGAGCTGTGTCTTTGATGGCCTTCAAGACTTCAAAAAGCTCAGCCCTATCCCTCATCTGGGTTTGCGTCTCGGTCGGCACGGAAAGCGAGGCGGCTCCGCTCCCACTGATCCGTCGTTTTTCCTCCCAGGTGACCAGAGGGACTGCAACCATGACGGACTCTAAATACTTCACCACCAATAAAAAAGGTGAGCGGCGCGACGTTGGGGGGTCCCGCCGGCCAGTGGGGAGGAGGAGAACGCTCGCCCTCTCGAGGCGCCTCTTTTTCAGGTGGCACCTGGGCTGAATACAAAGAGGAGGGAGGAGTTGGGGTTCAGAAGCCTACGCAGGATGCTAGATCTCAAGGAGGTGCTGCTTCTTGTAGCAGATAGCTCATGTCTTGAGTAACCGGGATGGCTAGTGTCTGAGGAAGATCTCCTGCCCCTCAGAGGACCATAAAGCTCAGGAGAAGACTGGGTAGTGGTGATCATTATTGTTATTTAATGATTAATATTCGTTGTAATAATAAGCAACAGTAATCAGACCGGGTCGAAATCCTCTCAAAACCTAAATCTACTGAAAATGAGCGTTGGCGTGGAGTCCGTAGTGTGGCTGGGGAGACAGCACCCACCCCACTATCCTCTTGGTCTCCGTTTCCTGTCATCACTGGCCGGTGGGGATGATGGAAGCCGTCACTCCTCACTGTCCGAAGGCCCGGCTTCCCTTCCGAAACAGAGGTTGGCCGTCATCTAACATGCTTCTGTGCTTCAAATCCACCCTGGGACATGATTTAAATTTTAAAAACTGGATTAAATTTAAAAAAAAAAAAATTTAAACTGTGATTCCAATCATGATTTAAATCAATTTTTTTCTATAAAAAAACAACAATAGTTGTCATCCAGTGATTATCCTATATTCCTGGGGCCAGGTGCCCGATCATCTCTCTTCTGCCGCAGGGGCTGCTTCTCCCTCTTGAGATTCATCCCGTCCAAATTCACCACCCCCCTCCAGCCCTCCAGAGCCTCTTCCCTGCCTCGTAATGGTACACCTGGCTTGTGATCCTTGTCGGTTTTTATTTTCATTTTTTATTTTGATTTTTGGCTGATCTCCATTGACTTCCTGTGCTGGGATAATTAAGATTCTCGACATCGAGCGAGGCTGTTTACCGCCAAGCCCTGACAAGATGAGCCTCCATTAAGTGCCTCGAATCTCTGGTGTGCTAGCCTATCGAGTTCCTCTTACTCTGCCATTTAGCCAGAGACCATCTTGAAAAAATAATGATTTTTGTAGGCTTGTGAGAACGAGAGACAAGCTGTTTCACGGCTGGAGGCCCCTGACTTCCGTCTTTTTTTTTCTTGTAAAACCGTAGAATAATGGAGCTGGAAGGGGCCTCTTAAGGCCATCAAGTCCACCCTCCCCACTCCAGGCAGGAATCCAAATCAAAGGAGATCTGCCAGGGGGTGGTCTAAATTTCTCTTGAACGCCTCCAGTGTTGGAGTGCTCACCGCCTCCCCTTGTGGTCATGGGTCCCGTCGTCATACTGCTCTGAAACAGCCTCCCCCTCAGGTCATGGGTCCCGTTGTCGTACGGCTCTGACAGTTAAGAATTTTTTTTCCTGATATCCAGCAGAAATCTGGCTTCCTGTCGTTTCCTTGAGCCCACGATGACGGGTCCTGCACACTGGGATGTTTCGACAGTTAGAAATTTTTTCCTCTGATATCCAGCAGAAATCTGGCTTCCTCTCGCTTCCTTGAGCCCATGATGACGGGTCCTGCACACTGGGATGTTTCTTTAGCCTCATACTTGAAATTAGATGATGCCAGGGCGAGAGAATGACCTGATTGGTTGATTGATTTTTAATTATTAGCTTTAAGCTATCTCGGGTTTGTTTTTTAAAATCAATTGAGGAATGGGGCAGAATATTCGAAATACACCAGTGATCAATCAATAGCAAGTGAACCCCCATGGAATCATGGTGTTCTCCTCTCTCATACAATTTGTATCTGGTGGCTCTGTGTCCATCTGTGGGTGGCACTCAGTGCTAACATGTGCCGGAGAAAGTTGGTTAGTTTTCCAGGGGACACGGAGCTCCTAAGTCATGGGCCATTCAGATTCCGAAGCTTGGAATCGCCTGGTAAATTAGAGCGCCAGGAGATTCCGGAGGGACAAATTTATGCTGCACTGTTAACCGGTGGAACTCCTTGCCACAGGACAGCAGCTTTTAGGAAAGGGGGGGACTCCCATTTCTGAAGAGTTGGCCTGATTGGTTGTCATTGTGAAGGGGGGTGCCGTATTCAGGGGCAGCTTACCTGAGAGGACCAGATTCTGGGAAGGGAAGAGTTTTTACTCTCTGGCCACTCTCGTCGTCTTCCTGGCTCGGCTCCGTGGGCCTGATCCCGTGTAGGATTTTTCTCACCACCCCTTCTTCCTCTCCAGGGGAGATTTTTGAGCTGAAAGCAGAGCTGAACAATGAGAAGAAAGAGAAAAGGAAGGAAGCCGTGAAGAAAGTCATCGCGGCCATGACGGTGGGGAAGGACGTCAGGTGAGGCGCCTCTCCCCGTAGGACAGGCATCAGGCTCTGCTCGCTGGTCTTCCAAGGTGCCACAACAGGCCAGGCCAGTTGCCCCACTGGACACTTCGAGCCGAAGCCGATGGTTTGTCCAGGCATGGCCTAGATTCTCCCCTTAGAAGGGCCGGAAGCAAACCGGAGGGAGCAGATGTTTGCCCTGAGATTAGAGAAGGGCCAGTTCGGCGATTTGTGCTGGTTCGTCCTTCGAACGAACAGGGGTTTGGCAGTTCCAAACCCCGCCTCCTCCAGCACATGCCCACTCAAGAGGCAGTGCCCAGAGGAGGCGGGGCAGGGAATCCAGGGCACTGCCTCTGAGTGGGCACGTGCTGGAGGAGGCGGGGCTGAGAACCGCCAAGCCCCTTTTCATCCAAAACTGGCACGAACCGACGAACCGGCAGTTCGCGCCCATCTGACACACCAGGGAGGCTGCTGTCAGTCAAGAATCGCCTTCCCTAAGCTTGACACCCTTGCACCGGATGACAGGTCCAGTCAGCTTGTCCAGTGGGATGATGGGGGCCGCGTCCAGGCTCGTCTAGACCCTTGCTGGGTGGGGGAAGGTGGCCCACTAGGAAACAGCTGGCCAGCCTGACCGTCTCCCCCACCCCCCCGTTCTCGCTTGCCTAGCTCTCTCTTCCCAGACGTGGTGAACTGCATGCAGACGGACAACCTGGAGCTGAAGAAATTGGTGTACCTCTACCTCATGAACTATGCCAAAAGCCAGCCGGACATGGCCATCATGGCCGTCAACAGCTTCGTGAAGGTCAGTCCCCGCGGGGGTGGGTCCCCGGCTTGGTGGTCCCCCCCGTCCGTAGAAGGGCTTTTTCTGCGGTGTGGCGTTTCCACCTCCTCCTTGGCGTACCTCCTCCATGCCGGCCCGTGCCTGTGGTTTCTCCTCTTGTTCGAGAGGACTCATCGTTTGGAGCTCAGGTGGCATGTCCTTGCAAGAGAGGGGAAGGGGAGCCATGCCTGCACCGACTGTCCCTTCCTTCCTTGCTTGACCCCCCCAGGACTGCGAGGACCCCAACCCTCTCATCCGCGCCCTGGCCGTGCGCACGATGGGCTGCATCCGCGTGGACAAGATCACCGAGTACCTCTGCGAGCCGCTCCGCAAGTGCCTGAAGGACGAGGACCCCTACGTGCGCAAGACGGCGGCCGTCTGCGTGGCCAAGCTCCACGACATCAACGCTCAGATGGTGGAGGATCAGGGCTTCCTGGATTCCCTCCGGGACCTCATTGCCGACTCCAACCCCATGGTAAGGCTCTTCCCCCATGACGGCCAAGAAAGACCCCGAGGGAGGTTGGATCCCTCTTACGGGGGAGGGGAAGGAACAGGCGCTCGGGACAGAACGGGAACCCTTCGCCACTTCGAATTTCAGGTCCGTTCCCCGGCACGGCTCAAGTGGAGAGAGGTTCCACAGGGCAGGACTGAAACATGCTTGCTACGTGTGCATGTTTTGCGGCGCAGGTACAGAACGGAGGACACAGGATGGCTTGTTTGCTTCAGAACCAGTTTGCTACCTGTGCATTTTTTGCGGAGCAGGTACAGGACGGAGGACACAGGACGGCTTGTTTGCTTCAGAACCACTGCCATTCATTCATTCATTCATTCATTCGTTCATTCATTCATTCATTCATTCATTCGTTCATTCATTCATTCATTCATTCATTCGTTCATTCATTCATTCATTCATTCATTCGTTCATTCATTCATTCATTCATTCATTCATTCATTCATTCATTTAACAAGTGCCACCCACACTACCCAAAAGTCTCTGGGCAGCTTACAACGATTTAAATACAGTTAAAAAAAATTAGAACAGTTAAAATACAATTGTGTCGCATGAAAGCTGTGTGCTTTTTTTTGAACTTCGAACCAGTCCTGTGCATTATGATTAGATGAATTGTCCTGATGGATCTCCTTATGACTTTTTGAGACACACCAACCCAGAAAAAAAAATTGCCTGGCTTCACTCCTTTTTTTTTTTCACCACCATCTCATTTTTCTCTCCCCCCTCCCTTTTCCACAAAGTAACGAGACGCCCATCAGGGCTCCTGCGGGGCACCTTTTCCAACATGTCTTTATTTAGACTTCCGCGCATGAACACGGATGGCTTCTCGGGAACGTTGTGTTCTCACCGGAGCGGATGGACCCGCCTCATGGTTACCGAGCGGGAGAGCTTTCTTTCATGTGCTTCGTTTTATCTCCCTCTCGTCAGCGCTGGAGCTTAAAAAGGGGGGGGACAGAAACTCAGACTTCTGTTATCTCTGTGGAAAACAACTGATCCTGTTAAAGGCGGACGTGTTTCTATTTTGATATTCTTCTAAAGAGCAGTTTTTCTTTAAATAGCAGAAAAATGTAAGAAGAGTTCAGAGTAACTAGTTAATGGGTTATATCCATGAATTGCTGTGATCATCTTCTGTTTTTAGGCCCTTGTTCATCATCATAGCTATCCTGGTGCCGTAGGTGGGAGTCCTAAATAATTCCAAACAACCTTTCTAGGTTCTTTACCGGATGAATTCCGTTCCTTCTTTGTTTTACCTTGAATAATCTGCCTTTTTGTTTGCAAATAGTCTACCTTTTTTTGCTTTTCCCCCCCTTCTTCCTTAGTCTTTACTCAGTATTCTAGTGTTCCTTTTCTGGATGAAGTATTAGAACAGGTGTTGGCTTCTCAGTGCCAGGGGTCCCTGGATCCATTCCAGTCTGGTTTAAGGCCCGGTTATGGGATAGAGTCTGCTTTGGTGGGTGACCTACGCTATGAGCTAGACCAGGGGATCCATATCCCTGTTGGTTCTGCCGGACCTCTCATGGGCTCTTGATACCACCGCCCATGGCCGCCTTCCGGGCCATCTCTCTCTCGGGGATGGGACTTGGAGGCCCTGTTTGAAGGAGTCTCCGGTCCTTCCTAGAGGAGAGAATCCAGGAGGTGGGGCTGGGGGGGGATTCCTCTTCGAGACCCTGGCCTTTTGGCCCGTGGGGTCCCTCGGGGCTCTGTTTTGTCCCCTACGCTATTTAGCATCCACAGGAAACCCCTGGGAGAAGCGGTCTGGAGTTTTGGGGTTCGGTCCCACCAGCATGCGGATGACACCCAGCTCGGTCCCTCCTTTCCACCTAAATCCAAGGAAGCTGCCTCCGCTCTAGATCAAGGTCCGGTGTCAGTAACGCACTGGATGAGGGCGGATAAACTGGCACTTAATCCAGGCAAGGCGGAGGGCCCCCCCGCTCAGTCGGGAGGCGGATCAAAGCATAAGGATGCTGCCTGTGCTGGATGGGGTTACGCCCCCTCTGAAAACACAGGCAGGCAGCTTGGAGGGGGGGTTGCCCTTTCTGGCTTCGTCTCTGAGCCAAGATGCCCAGGTTTCGGCAGTGGCCAGGAGTGCCTTCGCCCACCTAAAACTAGTGCGCCATTTCTGATTCAGCTATATAATATTTAATATCAAATTTAGGGGTAGCTGGCTACCCTAGGCTTGCTGCCAGTCCTTCTTAATCTGCTTTTAAAACACTTTTATACACTTCAATCTCTTTTTCTACGACGATTCCCCAAATGGATTCATTTTAAATACAGCTTGCCTATTGTTTTTACTCCTGCCCCCCCTCTCTTATCGAGCTGCGACCCACCTTGCGTCCTGTCGAGAAAGGCAGCGCATGAGTGCAGTAAATAAATTAAAAATTAGTCATTCACTTAAGTACTTTTCCATTGCCGTCATCTTTTTAAAAATGCATATATTTTTGCATCCTGGAGGAAGTTTGCATATACGTATCATGTGCTTTTGTCTTTGTCTTTGTGTGTGTGTGTGTGTGTGTATGTGTATCTGTACTTGCTTGCATTAAAGTCTGTGATTCCATCCCACGCGGTAGGAACCGAGCGTACAGTGTGCCGTACAGTTAAGGCCTCTGCCGATCCTCGAGATCTGTCCTGCGTCATTTTCCACCGAATAATAATAGGGCCCCTTTCACTGAAACTTACCCCTGTAATTTTTTTGCTCCTCCTGCTTGGCTCCCGCTGGCTACCTTTTTTATTTTAAAATTTAATTTTAGCACACAGCGAAGGCTGATCTTTGACTCGCGGGCTACGATTCTCTTCCTTTCGCTCGCCTCGCGTCTGCGATCGCCCGCTGTGAGTTCCCTTCCTCAAAAGAGTTTCTTTTCATTGCTTCCTTTCCAAATGTGGCCTTCACTTCCTCCGCTTTCCTGGCATTCTCGATGCAAACGCTTTAGAAGCGTGTCTGGTTTCTGCGTTTTTCAGTCCCCTAAATTTTGTCTTAAGACGGAAGAGGACAAGGGTGGCATAATGGGTGTTAATAATAATAATGATAATAATAATATTTCTGTGACTTCCCCCAATAAAATCCTAGCAGCCCCAGAATATCACCGGGGGTGTTTCTGATTGCCCTCCACTATTCCAAAAGATCAAAAATGTGATGTTTTTTTTTTCTGTGCAGAGTCTGGAGGTTCTGCTTCTTTATAAGTGTGCGATACAGATTTAAAAAGAAAATTGTAAGTTCCTTTGTGCCCTGCTCAGTTCTTGCAAATTCAAGCCTGTGGTTTCCTTTAGGGAATCAATCCATCTCACACTGGGGTCTTCTTCTTTTCCTGCTGCCTTCCACCTTCTCCTTTCCCAGCATGAGGGTCTTTTCCAGAGATAATCCTGCTTTCTCATGAAAGTGCCCAAAGTAGGACAGCCTCAGTTTCAACCTTTTTGCCTCCAGAGATAGTAGACCAGTTAATAGGGTGATCTCTACATGTCGCCGGGCCTGCTCTGCCCCCTTTCTTGCCAGCTCAAGACTCCTTCAGAAGGGGTTTCATTTTTATTTTATTTATTTTATTGGATTTCAACCCCGCCCATCTAAACCAAAGGTCTACAGAGGCACCCTTCCCAAACCAGATGTTTCAGTCTTACATTCCTACGACGTAAATGTAAAATGAATCAGTAATAACAAGAAGCAGAAGCAGCGCCGTAAGATTTTATGGAATTAGTTTTTCTTGTTTTAAAGATTCCAAGACGCCCAGTGGACTCGAAAGATGGCTTTCGCTAGCCAAGATGATCAGAGACTAGGCCAACAAGCAGCCAACTATCCAAACCCCGTCCTCCTTGCCAAAGGATTTTGGAAATGATTTAAGAATACCCTCCCCTTGGGCCAACTCTTGGCACAGGTGCCGTGTCTACGGGTTGGCGGGCGTCTCAGACCAGGTCCGGCTCAGACCCTCCCACTCCCGAGCACAGCTGTCCCGGCAGCGGATTTGGGGGGGATAGACCTTAGCCGGCCAAGACTTTCAGTTGGCCGATCATACTCCAGTGGTTCCCGATCTTGAGTCACCCAGCTGTTCTTGGACTGCAACTCCCAGAAATCCGGCACAGTGGGGGTGTGTGAGAAGGCTTCTGGGAATTGTAGTTCAAAGAACACTTGAACCCCCAAGATTGGGAACCGCTGAGTTAGCAGATCCATAAGAAAAGGAGGTTTGGCCAGCGGGAATGGGCTTAGCCCTTCTCACGGATCCCCTACCTAATTTCATTTTTCCCCCCACGGTGGTCTTATTCCAAGGGGTGTGTCTGCCTTGGTTTCCCCCCCCAAAAAAATTTCCAGCATTCAGTTCCACCGCTGGCTAACAAAGCCCTGTTCCCCCCCCAACCACTAGGTCGTGGCCAACGCCGTTGCTGCCTTATCGGAAATCAGCGAGTCACACCCCAATAGCAACCTGCTGGACCTGAACCCCCAGAACATCAACAAGCTCCTGACTGCGCTGAACGAGTGCACCGAGTGGGGCCAGATCTTCATCCTGGATTGTCTCTCCAACTATAATCCCAAGGACGATCGGGAAGCCCAGAGGTAGCTCAATTTCGCCCTTTGGTTCGGGATGGCACCGCTTTGGGGTTGTTATTTTTTTCTTTCTCCTTCTCAGCTTCTGAAATCTAGCCGATAACCCTCCCAGTAAAGCCCAGTATATTTTTATGAAAACTTGGGAAACCCCCCTCCTTATTGCTTGACCTTCTTTCTGTTCTCTTCCCCACCAGTATCTGTGAGCGCGTGACGCCCCGCCTCTCCCACGCCAACTCCGCTGTGGTGCTCTCAGCCGTCAAAGTGCTCATGAAGTTCCTGGAGCTCCTTCCCAAGGAGTCGGATTACTACAACATGTTGCTGAAGAAGCTGGCCCCGCCGTTGGTCACCTTGCTGTCCGGCGAGCCCGAGGTCCAGTATGTCGCCTTGAGGAACATCAACCTGATTGTGCAGAAAAGGTCAGAAGCGGGGGGGGGGGAAGGGGCCTGTGAAGCTTTCGGGCAAATGACGTGGGCCCAAAATAGGTTCAGCGCCTGGAACAAAACCCTAGAAAAGTGAAGTTAGAAAAACATAACAAGCCAACCTTTGGCTGGAAATAGAAGATCTCTAGGGACTTGTTGACATTCATGGGTGTCTTTTCTTCTCCTAGACCTGAAATCCTGAAGCAGGAGATCAAGGTGTTCTTTGTGAAGTACAACGACCCCATCTATGTGAAGCTTGAGAAGCTAGACATCATGATCCGCTTAGCCTCCCAAGCTAACATCGCCCAGGTAAGTGCCTCAACCGGTCCTGTCTGCCTTCTATGAGACGAGAAACATGGGAACAAAACTAGCACGAACTATATTTTTTTAAAAAACAAGTGTCTTCATTTTACTGTATGGTATAGTAAGCGTACATTTCCGGGGTGTCTTTTCCCCCTCCAATGAGGACTAGAAACGTTTGGGTTTTTGGGTTTTTTTTAAAAAAGGAAAACTGCTTTCTTTTGATTAAATCAAAGCCAGGACATTCCAAGGAGAAGATGCACCTATAAATACACTAGGACCCCTATATTTGTGGCGTCGGTGTCTGCAGTTTCACTTATCCACAGTCTGAAAATATTAAAAATATTAAAAGAAAAAAACAAGAAATACGTATTTTCCATGATGTATTTACGAGAACTGGTCACTAGAGGGAGCCATAGACCATGCAATGTATTTTTGTTGTTGAAGAATTCATAGCATGGCATGTGACTCCCTCTAGTGGACAGTTCTGGTAACACATGGTGAAAATAATTTTTTTCTGGGTTTTTTGTTCTACTGTGCTATGCATACAGCATGCTATTATCTGTGGTTTTCAGCATCCATGGAGGGCTTGGAATCAATCCCCTGTGGATAAAGGGGCCCTCCTGTATTGGAAGAGTTTTTTAGCTTCATTTTGTGTTTTCTAACACATAAGATAACTGCTACAGCCCGGTTAAATCTCTGATGTTTTTTGCACAGGTCCTGGCAGAGCTCAAGGAGTATGCCACAGAGGTGGATGTGGATTTTGTCCGCAAAGCTGTGCGCGCCATCGGCCGATGCGCTATTAAAGTCGAAGTAAGGAACACTTTCACTTTTTCCTGCCTTTTTCTGTGCCTTGTCCTTTTCAGCCTTCTGAAAGTCAGAGCGATTTGATCAGGTTTGGATGCAGTTTGCAGTTAGACGAACCCTCCGGAATCCCCATTCTTTACAACAAGGGACAACCTGAGAGAGAATGAGCTGGAGGATCGTAACCAGGAGGCCACTGTGTCTTACGCTGGTATATCTGAAGCGCAGTACGAAGCGACCCGGCCGTGTTTCTGGGTGTCCAGCAGGAGTCAAGCCCTGAATCACGGAATTTTTACTGAGCTGCAGCCCGTCCTCTAAAAATAGAAATAAGAGTCTGGTCCTCATTGAATAAATCGGTGCTAAAAAGGGAGATCATAGGTGTCCTCCTCTGTTTTCCTGCAATACTTATAATATTCACTCGTTCATTCATTCATTCATTCATTCATTCATTCATTCATTCATTCATTCATTCATTCATTCATTCAGTTTGTATCCTGCTCCCATTAATGCCACAGCCCTACTCTGGGTGGGTTTCAGTCTCATGAAATAGAAAACACAAATGAAAATAGAAATAATTAAAACTGATAACAAACACACACACACCCCAAAAAGAAAGAAAAACAGTTTCAATGTCTTCTCGAAGGCTTTCACGGCCAGGATCCGATGTTGGTTGTAGGTTTTTCGGGGTTTCTGGCCGTGGGGAACGTCGGGAAGAAAAACCTCAGGAACACGGCCAGACAGCCCGAAAAGCTTGCAACAACCAAAAAATGCTGTTTCGTTAGAATAATTATAATAGTAATAACGCTTACAACAACCAAAAAAGGCTATTTCGTTAGAATAATTATAATAGTAATAACCTTAGAACGGCAGAGCTGGAAGGGACCTTATAAATCATGGAGTCCAGCCCCTGTCTGGGAGGCCCAGTGGAGGAATCGAATTCGCAACCTCTTGACTCTGCAAGCCAGAAGTCTAAACCACTGAGCTATCCAGCCGTTCAGTCTAACTATGGCCCTCACCCTGTTATTTCCAGCAACTGTATATTGCAACCCCAGATGTCATGGAATGTACCTGGAAGCTGTCAAAATCTTTACGAGGAGCATCATAAGGCTCAGCGGAGCTATTCCTGGTTTTGTTGATACGGGATTCTCCGTGGAGATATTAATTCAGTCTAGCTATGGCCCTCACCCTGTTATTCCCAGCAACTGTATATTGCAACCCCGGATGTCATGGAATTTGCCTGGAAGCTGTCGAAATCTTTACAAGGAGCATCATAAGGCTCAGCGGAGCTGTTCCTGGTTTCGTTGATACGGGATTCTCCGTGGAGATATTATTGACATTTTGGAGGAGGGTTTGCAGGCCAAATTTGGAAGCACCTACAAGGAGAGATGTGCATTTTTCTCACCCTATTTAAACATCTCAGATACCCAGTGCTGTGTTAGGGATAGAGTAATGGACCAAGACTCGGGAGGCCTGAGTTCGAATCCCCACTCAGCCACGGAAACTCACTGTGTTGGTAAAAGCACTCCTTAAATGTATCACTTATTTTGAAAGCCCCGTTAGGGTCGCTATAAGTCGGCTCTGACTCCGTGGCACAGAAAAACAGGAAATTTTCAAGGCTCACCCTTTGTGACATTGAACGGAAGGCTTCTTCGGGATGGCCAACCCAGGTTAGGGATGTTCTGTTGGGCATAAAACTCGGGATGCAGGAAGAATGATTTGCGGAGTCGCGAGCTTGGATCCTGAGCTGAGCCTCCATTTTAAGGGGTCGCCTCTGTTTTTTCTCTCTCTCTCTCTCCCCAGCAATCCGCCGAGCGCTGCGTGAGCACCCTGCTGGACCTCATCCAGACGAAGGTCAACTACGTGGTCCAGGAAGCCATTGTGGTGATCCGAGACATTTTCCGCAAATACCCTAACAAGTAAGAGACTGTCCCCCCCCCCAAATGGGGAAACCTTGCACCGTTTTATCTGAATTTGTTGCTGCAGATGTGACCAGGCGCAGAGCGCAGGAGAATTCACTTCTCGGGTCTCGCTCTCACGATCCTCTGTGCAGCCGGTAGGAGCGGTGGTTCTGGGAGGAGGGACCCCCCCCAAGGAAGTAACTTTTCCAAGCTCCCACATTGCTGATACTACTAAAAAAAAAAGGTAGGAGCGCTGGACGTTGCCTGCAGTGAAGAGTTTGGAGAATCCAGAGCTGGAAGAGGAGAAACGAGCAACAACCGTTTGATGTGCTTTGTGTTGTTACAGCAGGAGCCTGTATCGGCGGGATCAGTATGCACTGATTCGCTTATCCATGGTCTGAATATATTAAAAATATTAAAAGAAAAAAATCAAGAAATACATATTTATAAAGATGAAATTACCAGAACTGGCCCCTAGAGGGAGTCAGAGACCATGTATAGCAATCACTATAATCCAGATGTTTCAGCATCTGCGAGGGGTTTAGAACAATCCCCCATGGAGATGGGCTCCTACTGCAGTCCTGCCACAGGACCGAAAAGCTCCAGTTTGGGCACAGATCAGAATCCAGCTGGTTCCCCATCTTCCATGTGTCATGTGATTCCCTAGGAAACAGCTCGCACCGGCTGATGCCACGAGCAGTCCGAAATGCGAGAGGTTTCTGCCTCCGGCTGCAACCTGGGTAGAGAGTTCGGGGGAGAGGCTTTTGAGCCTGAGAACTAGAAACATGGAAAGGCCTTCCGGGGTGGTAGGAAAAGTGTCGCCCGGTGAGGTCCGAGGATCAAAAGCCAAGCTTCTTTTAAAATCTGCCTTTAGGTACGAGAGCATCATTGCCACCCTCTGCGAGAACCTGGACTCTCTGGACGAGCCCGATGCCCGAGCCGCCATGATCTGGATCGTGGGCGAATACGCGGAGCGCATCGATAACGCGGATGAGCTTCTGGAGAGCTTTCTGGAAGGATTCCATGATGAAAGCACTCAGGTACCCCCTCGGTCTCTCTCTCTCTCTCTCTCTCTCTCCAGAAGAAAAAGGATGCTCTATATTTTAGCTACTGGCTGTGTCCGGGTAGCTCCGGTCACAGTGGGGGGCCCCTTATCCACAGGATCAGGATCCGCTGAGTCTCTACAGAAGAAAAAGGATGCTCTGTATTTTAGCTACTGGCTGTGTCCAGGTAGCTCCGGTCACAGGGCTGTTCAGTGGGGAGGCCCTTATCTACAGGATCAGGATACGCTGATTCGCTTATCCACAGTCTGAAAACATTAAAGGAAGGATCCTAGAAATATATATTTCTGAAGGTGGCATTGCTAGAACTGGTCACTAGAGGGAGCCAGAGACACGCGATGTAACAGCGTTCGCTGTAATCTACGTTTTCGAGCATCTGCTGGGGGCCTTGGAACCAATACAGGGGTCCTATTCAAATGCAGACTTTCTTGTTCCTTCTGATTTTCCACCAATTCACCAGATCAAGACACCAAGCCTGGGGTTCTTCACATGTTAGTGGACTCTAGTTCTCATTATCCCTAACCAGCCTGTCCGGTGCTGAAATATGATGGTAGTGGTAATGGTAGCTCATGAACAGCTGCGAAGTTCTACAGTTCTCCCTAGCGAGTCTAAAGACTTAAGTTTATTGTCAGTGGCCCATCTGTAGAACGGTGAGAAATATTTATAGCTTCAGTATAAAGAAATACATAAACGTTGTGTGACCTTTGTTTTCCGTAGCGCTTAAGGACAATCCGGTAAAAAAATATCAAAATCTTGTTTTGTAGGTGGCCCTTTTAGTCACTGGATAATCATCCTTTCTGTGGCAGTCATTGCCTTTTTAGGCATTATTTGTGTGTTTATAGAGACAAGCAGAGGAATAAGACTGATCTTTCTCATCAGCTGTCAGTTTTCGGGTGGACTAAAATAACCAGTTACAGTGGTGCTTCATTTAACGATGTTAATTGGTTCCAAAAAAATTAAGAGACAAGCAGAGAAATAAGACTGATCTTTCTCATCAGTTGTCAACCTATTCAATGCATCTCAATGGGTGAAAAAAACAACAGATTTAAAAAGAGTCAGAACAAAGTCAAATTTGGTTAACAAAGGGGTTATTAAGTGCACTTTATGATTTCAAACATTTTAAACAGTAAACTTTAACTTTATAAATAGCAGAAAAACATTTAAAAAACAACAAACATGAGGCTGTTTAAACCATCGTTAAGCAAAACAGGGGACCCAAAATTTAATCGCTATGCGAAGCATGGTCCCAACCACCGCTAAGTGAAAATCGCCCATAGGGACCATCGTTAAACGTAGCGTAAACACTCCGAAAAAGTCATCGCTAAGCGATTTTGTCATTAAACGAAGCAATCGCTAAGCGAGGCACCACTGTATATCCAAATGGATTGAAGCTAAGAATACTGTTGCCAATTTACTTGTGAGTAAGGGAAGTCACACAGATTTTTTTCAGCCAAAGGCTGGTCACAATGGAGGGCCTGACTGTGTTCCCAGTGCGCACTGAGGACGGCAGCCAGCACCTTTTGGACAAGGGGCAAATTGCCACTCAAGACTCAGTAGCAGGATTCTGGCTGATCAATCTTTTTTGTCTACTCTTTTCAAATTGACTTTTCTGGGTTTGGGATCCTGGCTGGTGCTGATGAAGGAGGACTCCCCTATTTTTCGGCTTCCTGTTGCTGGATTTTAGGAAGGCGGGTGGTGGAAGGATCAGCCGGAAGCCTTGATCTCAGTCTTCTCTGGGTTTTATTTTAGGTCCAGCTCACTTTACTCACTGCAATTGTGAAACTGTTTTTGAAGAAGCCCTCAGAGACGCAGGAGCTGGTCCAGCAGGTGCTCAGTCTTGCCACACAGGTAAGCCAGACTTCGGAGTCCCTCTCCCCCTCCCAATGCCCGGTCTTGGAAAAGGAAAGCTGTAGAATTGTCAAATTAAGACCCCCTGCAACAGTGTCCTGACAGGGCCAGCCAAATGTCCGTGTTATTCGAAGAGGTGGCCGTGTTAATCTGTGCAAGCCTTACAGGGGAAAGCAAAATGGAAAGAAAAGGTTTTTTTTAAAGGCAAAAACGGGCAGCCCCTTAAAGACCTAACTTTTATATTTTTAAAATGTGAGCGAACATGAAAGTTAACAACTCAGAAAAAGCTGTGTTTGGCGAGAGACCCAAGGACCTTAAGACATGGATGGTAGATCCTTTTAGCCGTTTTACGGCCAGTGAAATTGGCTCTTTGCTCCGTGGATGCGTGAAAGGGTGAATGAGCATGACTGGGGTGTAGCCGCATCACCGCCCCCATGTGCCCACCCCCCAGAAAATTAACCCCAAGGGAAGGGACGTTTAAGGCACGCATTGCCTTCCTGTTTCCCCCGCTGTTATCGGGTGGTCATTGCTCTTGGCGACGGTCAAGCTGATCATGCCCAGGGACCTCTTATCTCGGGGGCCTTGACTCTTCCCCTTAAGCCCCCTCCTGGGGAAAAACCCTTCCTGTTTCCTCAGATGTTCAAAGAAGGTAAAAATGTTGCCAACAAGTTGATCTCATCAGCCTTTCAGTCTTTGGATAAAAGCCTGAAAAATATTTCCCACTGTGGCACGATGCATGCTGACCCATTACATAAGAGGCTTTTTAAAAAGAAAAGGTGATTACACAGCTGTTAGCCAGGCCTGAGGCTGCTTTTCAGAGGTGACCTCTCTCCGATTACCACGGGCGGCGAGAGTCCGGGTACGAGGCCGTTTATGCGCCTGCAGATTCTTTCACGCTTACCGCCTCCTGCTTGCCGGGAATTTGGCGACGGAGATTCGGGGTGGCCGAACCTCTCCAGCTCTCCTCGCGCAATCGGAGCGATAGTTTAGAATCCCCAAGGCCGGATGAGACGCAGGCAAGAGATGCTGGCGGCTGTGTTGTGCAAGCCGACCGATGCGTCCCATAAGGCTTTGCACCCTCAGCTCAAAAGTGCAGAATAATTTAGGGTTCAGGGGGTGGGTCTGACAGCACTTGTCCCTGCCCCTGCTCGTCGGCGCGTGAGACGGGCGTCCAAACCCGTTGCGCCTCACCTCCCATACCTGCCATTGCTGCGGAGTGCTGTGATCAGCTGCCTAGTTTCACCCATAGAAATCATTACCCAGCCTGTGTTATTTTATTGAGTCTCATGGATTTCCTGCTTTTTTTTTTTTTGCACAAAACCTGCAGAAATCCCACTTCGACCCCCTTCCCCGACCCTTTCCACCTGCCCGTCCCACTTTAGATTGCAGGAATCTCCAGGGCAGAAGCCCCATCTAAGACGATTCTCCTTTTCTTCCTTCTTTTGTTATTCGGAGAGCATCACTGTGGTAGACTGCTCCTGGCACGCTACCTTGGGCCCTGTGGTTGCTCGGTTGTTCTGCCTTCAATGTTTTTTTTCCTACGGCTCTTTCCAAACGTCGAAGCTTTTCCTTTTTTTGGCTGACGGTTGCTAAACTGTATGAGATGCAGACAAAAAAAAACCAGTTATCAAAATTAGCTACACTGAGCCTATCGTCCTTCAAACGTAGATCATGAAAAGACAGAGTCTCCCAGAAACAGACAGGAATGCTGGGGAAAGTTGAAGGCAACAGGAGAAGAAGAGGACCAAATGTGAGATGGGTGGACTCAGTAAAGGAAGCCACCACCTTGGCTTTGCTGAGCAGGGCTGGTAGCACCTTTTTAGAGTTGGCCGAAGTCGGAAACGCCAGCGTGTCACAGCAGTTAACAAGTGACAAGACTGGGGAGAGCAGGATGGCTGGAAAGGAAAGCAGAACAGACTAGCACCCAGGCTGTAGCAGTTGTCAGAGAAAGCTAGAGGCCAGGGGTTGGGCCTGCAGGGCCCTTGACTACATTGGAAAGGCGCTTCAGTGGGACAAAGAAAGGAGTCTGTTCTCTGTTTCATTTGATAGTTTTTTTGGGGGGGCATTCAGGAGGAAGCTGCTTCCTTAGTTCTGTCCACCCGTGTGGGCAACTTCCCCAAAATCAAGCCGGGAAGGTGTTTTTTTTCGCGGGGGGAAAAGTTGCCGCTGTGTCTACTAGACCTGGTTCAGGTCCGATTCTGTTTTGTAGCTTTGGAGAAAGGAGATTTGCGTCCTCCGAGACACCCCGCAGACGCCGGTGGCTGTGATCTGGGATATTTTGTTGCCCGTAGGGGGATTGTTCCCAAGTTTGGGTGGACTACAGATCCCAGAATCCTTGGGACTGGGGCTTCTGGGAACTGAAGCCGGACCAGCCCCTGGAAACCATGTCAGCTTTTCAACCAGGGTTGCAGGGATCCTGTTGGAGCAAAGAAGGTGTTGCGTCACGCAGGAGGCGTTGACGGATCGTCCTGTGCTTTTGCCGGCAGGACTCGGACAATCCAGACTTGCGTGACCGTGGCTACATCTACTGGCGCCTCTTATCCACGGACCCGGTTACTGCCAAGGAAGTGGTGCTGTCGGAGAAGCCCCTGATCTCGGAGGAGACCGATCTGATCGAACCCACCCTGCTGGACGAGCTGATCTGCCACATTGGGTCTCTGGCCTCCGTGTACCACAAGCCGCCCAACGCCTTCGTGGAGGGCAGCCATGGCATCCACCGGAAGCACCTGCCCATCCACCACGGGAGGTAGGGCGTTCGGTATGGTCTCACCAAATCGGGGAACCTCGGGGTGTTCGATTACAGCACAAACAGACAAGTGTGTGGGCCCCTGGCTGTCAAAATGTGCCCCCCAGCACCATACAAAAAGTACGGTAGGACCAGTATCCACAGTTTCAATTATCCATGATCTGAAAATATTAAAAGATAAAAACTAGAAATAGGCATTTTTATAGTGTATTTACCACAACTGGCCACTGGAGGGAGCCAGAAACCATGCTATGTATGCATGATGTTGTACAGTGGTGCCTCGCTTAATGGCGATAATCCGTTCCAGGAAAATCGCTGTTAAGCGAAAACATCGTAAAGCGAAAATAAAAAGCCAATTGAAACGCATTGAAAACTGTTCAATGCGTTCCAATTGGCTAAAAACTCACAGTCCAGTGAAGATCCTCCATACGGCGGCCATTTTTGGTGCCTGTATAGCGAGGAATCCGTCCCTAAACGCAGCGGGGAGCCATTTTAATTACCCGGCGGCCATTTTGAAACCGTTGATCAGCTGTTTTAAAAAACATAATTTTGCGAAGAATCGGTTCCCGAAGCAGGGAACCGATCATCGCAAAGTGAAAAAACCCTATTTAGACCATCATTTTGCGATAAACCCTGTTTAGACCATCATTTTGCGATCGCAAAAGCGATCACAAAAACTTTGTGAAGCGGATTTGTCGTAATGCAGGGTAATTGTAAAGTGGGGCACCACTGTAATTCGTAACATGTTCTTTGGCCAGTTCTGGTAATACATTGTGAAAATATTTTTTTTCTGGCTTTTTCTTTTCTTTTAGCATGTGATGTATACTGTTCACTGTTATCCACAATTTTTAGCATCCGTGGGGGCCTTGGGACCACTTCCCCCTTTGGATACAGGGGTCCTACTGTATTTTAAATTTCAGGGACGTATCCTTGCCTTCTTTCAGTGAAGTCAAGCCAGGTTTTCTCTGCCAGCATGCCAAGGGGGTGGGAAAAAAAGACGTGACTAGGCAGTGATGTGTTTTGGGATATTTTTAAGTCTTTAATAGAAGCCTGTGTGTTAGGCGCTCTTCTGTTTTGTTTTTCCTTTCTTTAATCTTTCCCCTCTTTTTTGGCAAATATCATTTGGTTTCTAGGCCTCTTCTGTTGTACAGCTTCCTCTAGGATCAGTATCCGCTGATTCACTTGTCCACTGCCCGAAAATTATTAAATTAAAAAACCAGAAATGCGTATTTATATGTATTTCTATGATGCCTTTACCAGACCCGGCCACTGGAGGGAGCCAGAGGCCACACGGGCTTCCACATGTTGTTCCGTCATCTGGGGGGAGGGCATCGAACCAATCTCCTGCAGACACTGGAATCCCACAAGATTTCCATTTGAGCAGTTAATGTGTTTTTTAAAAAAATATATGTATTTTAGAATATTTTTTTGATGCCTAAAAGCAGTTTTTAACGAGTCTTTCTAGGAAGAGGCCTTCTCTGCAGGTAGGGTGTCTAGCCGCGGTACGGGGCTGATTCTCCTTGTCTTTTGCAGCACCGATGCTGGAGATAGTCCCGTGGGGACCATGGCCGCCCAGAACCTCGAGCAGCCTCAGGTGATCCCCTCCCAGGGCGACCTCCTGGGCGACCTTTTGAACCTCGACCTTGGCCCACCCACGAACGTCCCCCAGGTGTCCTCCATGCAGATGGGCGCTGTGGACCTCCTCGGGGGTGGCCTGGACAGCCTGGTGAGTCGACCGCGTCCTTTCGGTGCCGATGAGCGGCTGAAGCCCGTGGTTTCTCTTGCACACGCTTCTGGCCTCGAACCCTGAGCTTGGTTCTTAGATGGCGCAGGATCTGGCCACCAGGATCCGGTTGCCCACCTCCTGTCCTTTTTCATGCTAAGGAGAGAGAAAACACACACACACACAAAAAAACAAGGAAACGTGGGGTCGAATCTGTGGCAGAGGGGCAGGAGTTCGCAGAGCAGAAAAGCTTCAAGCTCCACTAGTCCACCCCTTTTTCCTCCTCTACTGGCACTTACAGTCTCAATAACTCACTCTGAGACTGTCGTAGTAGAGAGAATTTTAAAAAGGTGCTGTTCCTAAAAGGTCAAAGAGCAAACTGGAGTGGGGTGGGGGCTAACGACACATGCCTCTAGAGAAGGAAAAGGCCACAGAGCGGAAAGATGGGGGGAGTCTTTTTGAATTTAGAGGTCAGGAAGGGATGATTGGATAGTGATGCTAGGGACGGACCATCACCCCAACCCAGAAAGGTCCCTTGTAACCAAACCTACTAAAGGCAACATACTAGATTGCAAAAAACAAACAAACAAAAAAAACCTCCCAACGCGATCACCTGCCATTGAGAGGACCCCAGGATTTTTTTCCCCCTGCTCCCTACCTTTGTTTCCACCTTCCACACTGGGAGCCAGAATGGTGTCGTCTGGAGAGTTTTGAACCGAGTCTTGAAACTGCCTCTGGACTAGTCGCTTTCCTTCCTTCCTCTCTCGCTCATCCTGGCCTACCTTGCAGGGTGGTGGTTCTATAGGGAAGAGAAGCTGCTTCTGCGACTGGGGAGAGGTGGCGTGTAAGCTTAACCGATAAATGAAACTGAGGAAAAGAGTCCTGTCCCCACCCCCCAAAAAGGCTATTTTGCTTGTGGGCAGAAAATGGTTCGGGGTGGACCCACACCTTATGATCCCTCCCTCTTTAATCGCACATGGGGAGGCATCTTTGGGACATGGATCACCCCTTCACGGCACAGGACAGGCGTCGTGCGGATGGTGCCGTTGTGATAAACCTTTGTAAAACCATGTGCTCTCCGAGAGAAGAGAAGGGGGTGGGAGGTTTCATCCCCTCCCCAAATCCCTGGCCAGCTTAGGCTAAGAGACCACCAACCTGCTAGGGTTTAGGCCAGCTTTGACTTTCTCTGCCTTGCTTGCTCCTAGGATAGGGCTGAACTTCCCCCTCCTCCCCAATTCTGCCACCTTGGAAGGTTGAGGTCTGTGATGAAGGCTAATTTTTCTATGCACAAGGGAACGTGTAGTGTATCTCTATCTCGCCCTGTATCCCATTTTGCTGTGCTTGTTCCACTTCTGTTTTATCGTTAAGGGTTCCACCGAGCAACAAAAGGCCAGCCCGCTTTTCCCAGCTGCTAGAAAACCAATATTTCCCTTTCCAGCCTTTAAGATAGCCGTACGAGTCGCCTGTACATTTTTTTAATGCATTTTCCTATTTCCATGGCCAAAGAGACTGTGAAAAATCATTATCATGCCGAGATGTTTTTGAGAGGGAGGTGTTGTCCCCCCCCGCCAGACATGAGGACTAGCAACTTAAAAAGCTGTGGTTTCCTAGGAAGGTGAAACTGTCATGCCCAGTCCCATCAGGGGGAATCTGCGGCAGAGTGATTCACGTAGATGCTGCGAAGAGGGTGACATTTTACGCCGTAGCCCTGGTCTGTTTCTGCTCAGAGAAAGGCGAATTATTGCCTGGGGCTGGAACATATTCCACGTTAGGTGGTTCTTTCACTGGTGACACTCTGCTTGCAAATAGATTACAGTCTCTTGGCGCTGCATAAAAGCCCCCCAAGTTTCCTCAATCACTTCAACCCTCCTCCCCTCTTCTCTCAGCCAGGACGTGGGATGTTCCACGTCCCCTCGTGCATAGTCTTGCAGGATCTCGGCCGCCCCTTGGCAGGAGAAAACCTGCTTCTCAGCACAAGGGTACTCAGGCGGACGCCCGGGGCAGTCAGGAGCGGCCGGGTGCGGGAGTTTCAAACAAGGATCTGCTCTCCTGGGAATCTGCCGATGAGGAGCCGGGCAAGCTTATTCCTGAAGTATTTGGCATCTCAGTGGCGGCAGAGCATGGCGGGGGTTTCACCACCCCCCTCAAACCATGTGCCCCCAAGATGCCCACGCTCTCCTGTGCCCTGTTCCTCGGGCTCTCTTCAGCCTTGCGTGGATGAATTCTCATGCAGTCCTGACCTGCTAGCTTTCTGACATTCGGGGATTTTGATCGGTTCCTTATTCCAGGGGTGTCGACAGTTCCTGTGCCCCATCAGTCTCAAAACAAAACCACCCTGGCCTCGCAGGACGACCTCACTCAACGTGACAGACGAGGTTTCTAGGTGTCTCTAAAGCGGAACGCGGGTCTCCTTGGTGCTTCAAGGATCCAGACGCTGTGATGGGCAGCGTCGTGCAGTGTGGAAGACTCCTCTCCCCCAAATCCAGGGTTGAACTACAACACCCAGAATCCCCCTGCCAGCCCCTAGCTGGGGGTGATGGGAGTTGTTAGCCCAACAAAATCTGGATTAGGAGAGGCAAAACTATCCTGATCTTTTTTTTTCCTGTTCTTATTCTTCACCAGATCTTAAAAAATAATCTCTGGTCCTGACAGACTCCACACTTGGAGGGGGCAGAGGAGGGCTCTGGAGGAGCAAATAAAGGGGGAGAATCACCCCCATTTTCTCTCCCAGCGCAAGGCCAGTTTTCTAAATGGCAGTCCGTCTTAAGTTCTCCTGCTCCCTACTTTGTCTTGTTCTTATTATTCACTCATTTTAGTTCATTTCCATTCCACCGCTCTCCCGGTGTAAGGACTGAAAGCAGCTTAGAAACACAATGTCTTTAAAACAAATGTGTAAGTTGTAATACGAGAATGCAGTTAAACTCGCAAGAAAAGCCAACTACATCTAAAATATTTCAGAACTTAGGGGGTGGAAAGAATAATGACGCCTTCTGCACTGAAAGCTCCTTTTTCTGACCTCGGTTTAGTTGCTGAAATCCTGCCCAGGGAGGGACGTTTTTGCTTGCCAGACAGAGGAGGGCAGAGAGCTTCTTGTGGCAGTGAGTTCCAGAGCCATGTCAGCAGCCACCGAAACAGCTCTATTTTGTCTTCACCAGATGTGGCACGGGGGGGCAGTGGGAGAGAGAGAGAGAGACAGCAGGGTCTCCCTAGAGGTCTTCGAACCATAGAATCATAGAAAAATGACGTTGGAAGGGGGCCTACAAGGCCATCAAATGCAACCCCCTGCTCAAGGCAATCAAAACATATCTGCCAGGTGGTTGTCTAAATTTCTCTTTATTACCTCCAATGTTGAAGCGCTCACCACCTCTTGAGGGCCACTGGTTCCACTGTCGTTCTGCTCTAACAGTTAAGAAGTTTTTTTCTTGATACTCAACCGAAATCTGGCTTCCTGTAACTTGAACCCATTGTTATGTGTCCTCCACTCTGGGATGATGGAGAACAGATCCTGCCCCCTCCTCTGAAGGACAGGCTTTCGAGTCCATTGAGTGGTCTGTCCACCGCCTCGGTCTTCTTTTCTCAAGGCTAAAGATATCACTGCCTTAGTCTTCTTTTCCCAAGGCTAAAGATAGCCAGATCTTTCAGCCTTTCCTCCTAAGGCTTGGTTTCCAGCCCCCTGATCATCCTTATCGCCCTCCTCTGAACTTCTGAACTCCTCCTCAGCATCCTTCTTGAAGTGTGGTGTCCAGAACTGGACACAAGACTCAAGGTGAGGCCTAACCAGTGCCGAATAGAGGGCTAGCACCTTGCAAGATTTGGAAACTGTACTTCTCTTAATGAAGTCTAAAATAGCATTGGCCTTTTTTGTAGCCGTATCACACGGTTGGCTCCTGTTCAGCTTGCGATCCACAACAATTCCAAGACCTTTCTCGCTCGAACTTTTGCTGAGCCAGGTCTCCTCCCATATCTTGGAACCGTGCAATGGGTTTCTTTTTCCGAGGTGCAAGACTTGGCACTTCTCCCTGTTGAATTTCATTCTGTTGCTTTCGGCCCCAGGGCTCCATCCTATCAAGTTTTGAATTTTGTTTCTGCCTTCTAGGATAGGAGCTTTTCTGCCCAATTTGGTATCATCTGCAGATTTGACAAGCATTCCCTGCGCTCCCTCAACCAAGCCATTAATGAAAATATCGAAGAGCATCCCATTCATTATGGTGGCATAATTTGGGATGAGTCCCAAGGAGCTGGTTTAGGCCCCCGAAAAATGGCCTCTGAGTGCCCTGGAGGCTGCTGAGTCAGCGGGGTCAAAGATATGCCCTCTCAAGCCATGCAGGGGGCCAGATCCAGAAGGTGTCACCTGCCATCCATGGACCTCTTTCTGCTGCCCCCAGGGATCACCTGGAGCAGAAGCAGAAATCTAGGTTTTCAGCTCCGTGGATCAAAGAGAGGGCCGTGGCGGGGATGAGGATGCAGAAAGATGGTGTGGGGGGGTTCCCGTGGCCCAAACTAGGCAGGAGGGGATTTCTGTGGTGGTGGTGGGATCCACAAAACCAAGAGCTTAGGACCCCATGTTGCCGATTCGCCCAGAAATAACGCCGTGCATGTGGTCACTGTTTTCCCACAATACTCTTCCAAACTCCGAAGTCCAGGCTCCTCCTAGGCAGAGCATCGCACTCCGCCTGCAGACTTCCATACGTCTGCCATCTGCACTAGCGGAGGCCACCCCGCTGGGAAGAAGAAGGCTATTCCTTGCAAGCTGACTTCCCGGGAGGGGGCACCGTGCAGAAGCTCTCCAGGCGCCCCACCACTTAAGCAACAAGCGAATGTGTGAATCGTTTGGTCAGACAGACTTTCGGCCCCAATCCAAAGCCTGTAAGGTCCTTCTCGGTCTTGAAACGGGGACAGGGCGCTGCCTTGGCGCACGCCTTGTTCCCTACATCCGCGCAAACCATCAGAGGAGGCTTCCTTGCTCCGTTCTGCCTTTGGCCCCGTAGAGAATCCAGGACCAGATCTTAATAATCCCCGGCTGTAAGTTGGCGAGGTTTCCCATTTCCCCATCTCTGCCCTCCGGATTTCATCGTGATCCCCGTTACCACGGGCAGGAGAAGGCTCTTTTGTGTGTGTGTGTGAGAGAGAGAGAGAGAGAGAGGTTAAAATCATCAGATCTTTGTCTTTCAAGGTTGACTTCCCAGCCGGTGGCTCTTTTCGCGATACACTTGGCGAGGCGCCGAGGAAAGCAGATTAAAAACATCTGGCTCGATTATGCAGAGTTATTCCCAAGCTGTTTCAAGGCCGTTTTATATAAGATGTTCGCTGGTCTGAGAGCCGCCTCTTCTCCTTTTGAGAGGAAAACACTCCCCAAAGCCTGGCAGGAGAGCGGGGGGGGGCTCTTTCCTCTTGGACGATCTAGAGCGTTGAATCTGGCAGGGTCGGGCTTTGGCTTCTCCATGCCACCTGGGCACCCGCTTGGCTGGCAGAGAGAGCGATAAATTGCAGAAAGACAATAGCCTCCCGGGGTTCCCTTTCAAATTACAGCTCTCAGCTGGATGGAAAGAGTGGGAGATTGAGTATATTTTTTGGGCAGCGGGCTTGGGCGATAGGAGATCTTAGCTGACACCAAATCAGTTTTTAGTTGTGTTTTAGGGAGCTCCGACAGAGCTCTCGTGATGTGAACAAATTGACCCGATGAAGGAAAATACACATTTGTTTCCTTTTTTTCAGAATCTACCATTCTAGCCACTGTGATAGAAAAGGAGCTGTATTCACCCCACTGATAATTCTGAAATGTAACCATCGACATCCTTAAGGATATTTAACTTCACTGCATCATGTGATGGTCACGCTGAGCGGATTGCAGCAATAAGTGACTTTAAAAAAAAAAACCCCACACATCCTAAGATTACACAATCAGTGCAATAAAATAAAATACTGGTAGCCTCTCAAAGCCCATTAAAACGGGCGGCCGTTTGCTAGGAAGGGCCGTTGCTCTCCGAGGCTCTTAGGTCGGCAAGTTTTGTAAAGCCTGCCAGAATAAAAATGTTCCTTTTTGTGAAGCATCAGAAAAGTAAAAAAAAAAAAATTTACATTTTTAATATCCATTTTTCACATCCCTGCAGTGCATTGGAACATTTTCCTTTTTCTGGACAAAAGAGACTTTATGATTCCTCCCTTTCCCAGAAGTTAGATCTCAATGCAACCGGCTGTTGAGTTTCTAGAAGGAGAAGATTGCTCTCGGTCTTTCACAACTGCTTAACTGCTGGCAATTGATTCAGTTTGGGGTCTTCTTAATAGGACAGCAGAGCTGGCGTATGAAATGTGCCTGTCTACCAACATTTTTTGGCTTCTCTGTGTCTTTGCTCCATCCCAAACTTCTTTTGCTGTCACCTCTCCTGACGAAGCGTTCTGCGGAGCCCAAAAGCTTGCACCGTTTGGTAACCTTCTGGTTGGTCTTCATCAAGGCAGGGGCTACCTCTGGAGGGTGGCCTTCTCCCCTTCCAGAGCACCGTGGTTGGTGGTTCATTTGGCTTGTCCGTCCCTTTTTTAGAGAAAAGGTTTCACTCGCATCCATGCTTAGGTCCTGAGGTCGAGACTTGGCTACCCACAGAAGCCTGGGAGTGAAGGTTAAGGGGTTAGATGAAATGAAACGGGGTGCAATAGTTCAGGATCCCCCAACACTGTGCTTTTGGAGCGGCCCTGCTAGTATTTTTGGTAGCTTTTTAAGGGCGTCACTGCACACAACTTACCGTATTTTTCAATGTATAAGGCTATACTTTTGTCTAAAATCTTTAGACTAAAAATTGAGGGTTGTCTTATACATGGAAGTAAGCGGAGGAGAGAAAAAAAGTGGAGGGGAAAGCAGGGATCAAAGTGATCCTGCAGTGCTGTGATCCCTGCTTTCCCCTCCACTTGCTAAGCCTTAGCAAAAGGAAAGCAGGAGTCAAAGCGCTGCAGGATGGCTTTCATCCTTGCTTTCCCCTCTGCTTACTAAGTCCTGTGGGGCTTAGTAAGTGTAGGGGGAAAGGATCAAAGCAATTCCATGGCTGTATAAGGGGGGAAGGGATCAAAACAATAATGCAGTCAGGGGATTCTTTTAATCCCTTTCTCTCTCCTTTTGCTAAGCCCTGCGGGGCTTAACACAAAGGGAGAAAGCAGGGATCAAAGCGATCCTGCAGGGCTTTGATCCCTTTCCCCCTACACTTGCTAAGCCCCACTTAGTTTTCTTAATTTTGGGTTTAAAAAGTAGTGGCTATCTTATACATGGGAGCGTCTTATACACGGAAAAATACGGTAAATGCGACTTGGCATCAAGTTTTTTACGGCCAACTCTTGTGGGACTCATTTTGCATTAGGCAGAGAGAAGTGATGGCGCAGCTGCGATCTCAGTGCGGTCCCTGCCACCTCAGAATAGAGCCCGGGCCGAGAGAAAGGAGCGGATAGCTTTCCCACGCCGGAGGTACAAGCGTAATGGCCCGTTCCGAGCCGCTAGCGCCACCCCACTGCACCGCGTTGGGGCAAAGATCTGGACATGCAGAGGAGGCCAAACCGAGGTGGGGACGGGTTTGTGACAGCGGGCGACTGCCCGGCCTGCGACACGCGCGTCTTGAGTGAGGTGACGGTGGCGGTTTTTTGGGGGAACCTTGGCGGTCACCCTGAACCGACCGAGGCTCAGTCCTTTAAAACGGCAGCTTAGGAGAGAGTTCTTCCTGGCTGTTCGGGCGACACAGCTCGACTCGAAAGGCAACACGCTGTGCATCGCTCTGCTTTGGACCGAATGTGGCACTTCTCTCTTCTCTCCCCCTTTCCCTGGGGGCTTTTGGGGGTCCTATGCTGGGGGCTCCCTGTTCTGGCTGTGGGGCTTGTCCCGCTGGGCAGCTGCTCCCTCCCCCGGGGAACAGTGGGGGCCATCTGGCGTGGTGGCCCTCTTTCGGGCACCTCTCTGAACTGAATTTTTACCCTCTCTCACCCCCCACTCCACTCCACTCCCACCCATCCCTTCTCTCCTGCCTTGTCTCTCCCCCCTCCACTCGTTTCTCTCTTTGCAGCTTGGCAGTGACCTTGGAGGGGGAATTGGTGGCAGTCCTGCAGTAAGTGGCCTTCGTTCGTTTTTCTTTTGATTTGGTCTTACACGTCATGCTCTTCTTTCTCCGTTGGCACTTTTCCCACCTCTCCCTGGACCCTTTCCGGCACACATGCGGTGGTGAGGCCTTGCATCCCTACGTGGGTCAAAGCGTCGTTGGCGGAGTGGAGACCACACAGTCCGAGCTTGCGTGGCCGGGCCACGCCGGACCACGGAAGAAGGAAAGAGGGGCTGCGATAAGCCGAGTTGCAACCTGTCAGGATTCGGAGAAGCCGGAGCACAAGCCGTTTGTGGGATGAATCGGGCTGGGGTTTGAGGGCTTTCTGGGCTGCAGAGTCCCCTGCGCCGATTCATTATTCATATCTTCATTGGTTCGATCCCTGCCCTGCCTTCCTCTCATGTGGAGGGAGTCAAGGCAGCGTCCGAGTGCTTGCAAGATGTAGAAATCACAGGATTGCAAGCTGTGAGCAATTAAAAGGCAGAAGGTGGGTGTGCGGTAAAAACCAGTTTGCAAGTAGAGATGATTGCACGGGGGGTAGAATTAAGTTGCCCGAGTGCATTGGCATGCTGGTGGATTTTTTTACCTTCCTTGATCAATCCGCAAAATGGCGAGTGAAAAGCTTTAAAAAATCCGGAATACAGTAGGATCCTCATATCCACGTGGATCGATTCCAGCGCTTCCCCCCCCCGCTTAAAAAAAGTGGAACGCTATACATAGCAGGGTGTTTTTCTTTATATATAAAGATATGGGTTTTTCTTTGAATCATTTTAATACTTTTGGACTGTAGATGAGTGAATCAGTGGATACAGATCCCCCAGATAAGGCGGTCCTTCTGTATTGCCGGCATTCACGGCTTATAGAGTTTTTTAAAAAGCTCCCGCAGGGCAGAAATGATGTTAACTTCATCCCCATTTTTCTCTCTCCCTTTCTGTAACACCTCCCAGGTGGGGCAGACCTTCATCCCCTCCTCCGTGCCGGCGACTTTTGCTCCCTCGCCGACTCCGGCCGTGGTCAGCAGTGGCCTCAACGACCTCTTCGAGCTCTCCTCCGGTATCGGCATGGCGCCCGGCGGATACATGGCCCCCAAAGCGGTAGGCAAGACGTGGCTTGATCGTTCCCCCCATCCCACTTTCGAAACCACCAAGTTTGGATGGATTACAGGATGTAATCCATCGGAAACGGTCTCACCCGTGGGCTGAATTTGTCCCTCTGAGACCCAAAATCTGGCCTGAAGTGGGTCCCCAGCCACACTGTCCTCCCCGTGGCCTCCTCCTCCCCCCTCAAAAAGAGAATCCTCTCCCTGTGGACCAGGCACCCACTTTTCTCCCACCTCCCTACATACAGACACCGTGGGGGCACCAAAGCAAGCAGAATCAGCTCCCTCTGGGACTTCTTCCAGGCTGCGGCACCGATTTGCTCTTACCTGGGAGTTTGGGCAGCGTGGGGATCCGGCCTGTGACCTGAAATCCCGTGGAAAATCGGGGCAGGGGGGCAGGCATCCGGGCCTTTGCCCAGTTTCAGATGGGGCGCCGGTTTTTTTCTAGGAAAGATGGAACTGCCCAGAAATCCTGCAGCTCTCGTTTCATCAAGGTTGAATTAGCAGGTGTGGCAACCCCAGACCTACTGGAGTATCCCACCCTGTAGTTATGCTGCCACCAACCATTCGCTCCACCAAGTCACCCAGACCAGGAATGGATTTTAATAAACAAAAGAACAAGATTTATTGAAACAACGAACAGGGTAAATAAAAGGATCAGGTAAATAGGATACTGGAACGTGGTATAGTCCCAATCGTACACATACAACAGATTGGTTCCCCCGGAACACTTTAA